AACTGACTAAATGATATTCACTACAGATGTTAAGAGGGAGATTATCTGATAAAAAGACCTCCCACGGAGCAATACGATTTAGTGAGAATGTCTGGATTAACCAGCACCCACTTAGACGCCTACTGGTTCAGGCCAGGACAGCCTTCCTGTCGCCTAACACCCTAACACCCTATTCATTCCATCATGCATAGATACATCAGCGACTGTTACGAAGACCGTGGTGTGGAGGGCGAGGAGGAGTGGCAGGCCTTTGTGACGGAAGCAGGGCCTTGATATGAAGCAAGAATCCAACAAACCCTGATCTCTGGGTTCATAAAGGTGAGATTAAGGAGGGTTTACTGGGGTGGGGTGGGGTGCAGACAGGGTTGCTTCTGAGCACAAGCAGCCAAGGACCAGAAGGCAAGGAACTTGGGCTTGCACAAATTAGAAAAGCAAGGTGTGATAGATGCAACAGGGACATGGGGTGAGGAAAAGTCTGAGAGCTCCTGGGGTCTGACAAAATGCCTGGTATTTATTTATCCATGAAATTGCTACCTCTAGACCGTTCTGACCTATTGGAACAGCAGTTTTGTCTGGCTCAACCCCACATACGGTAAGTGCTCAGATCACAAGATCTTAGTTCGTAAAACTGTAGTGATATTCTCCCTGCCCTCTGAGAAAGTGACAGTGGTGAAGGAGGGTGAGGGTTCCTTCGAGATGCGTTTTGTGCATTGTTTCACAAAAGCCAAAGTGCCTATCATGGGACTTGGCTGTCCGTCCACACCGCGTGAGGGCAGGAGGCGGCTAAGGACACCCCCTAGCTCACAGGAAGGACGCAGCTTCCCCCAGAAGGCGGCGAGTGAAAGCTGCACACCCAGGGTGGCAGATCAGTAGCCAAGGGAAAAGGCAGGATTGAAGGGCCAGAAACAGCTACCACCACTGTCACTGGGCATCTTCGAAGGGAACGCTGCATATGGTGTCTGTGTATATGTACTATACGTACTAACCAGGTACACACATAAATATTTAATATATAAAAAATAAAGTGCTTTCTAACAGGTCCCCAGGCAGGGACATTATAAAATATTTCACAAAACTGCAAAACAAAATCAGTACAATCAAAGAACACTACCTCCAACATACATGAAAACAGTCAAACACAGTATGTACAATCTGGTGGGTGCCCCAGGACAAACATCCTGTCATATACATGGTATATACATATATACTCTTTTACTCAATATATTATGACAATATATATTTTAAAATTCTGTTATAGACAAAAAGAAAAACCCCAAAAAACACAAAAGACGACCCCTACAAAAACACAACAAAGATCAAGCATGGGAGTCCGAGGCTGATAGCCCAGTGGCTGCGTCCGGGGGGCGTCCCCTGGCTGCCGCTGGGGAAAATGTGCCAGCGTTCCTTCCGCGGGTGCAGCGCCTCCACATCCTCCAAGGCACTGTGGGCGGCGGCGGTGAAGTTGGCATCACCAGTGGTGAGCAGGTCAAAGACACAGGACTGGAAATAGATGTCCTTCACTGGCATCTTCTCGTGGCACTGGGCATTGGCAGCCTCCAGTGTGTAGCCCGGCCAGGCCGGTGCCAGTGAGGTGCGAGGCACGCTGTGCCCCAGGATGGCAGACACCTGGCCCTGCCCGTCGTCGATGCGCTCGCTCAGGGGGCAGCCGTTGACACACAGCTGCAGGTCCTGACTTTCCTCGTAGGACATAGCCAGGTCCTCAGGCATGCGGATGGCGAGCGTCAGGTAGCGACCCAGCTGCCGCACGAAGACCGTGGTCCCTATGTAGTGGGCGTGCATCTCCACGTAGCGGCCGCTCTCCCTCTCCAAGATAAGCAGACTCTTGGTGTCGCCATCCCCGCCGCTGGTGCTGCCATCCACAAAGGCAGCCGGCAGGTCATCGGTCACAGCTTGGTACACTTTCTGATCTGTACACTCCTTGTGAGCTTTGAAGATGATGGTTATCTGGGGGAAGGAACACACACAAATTGAAACAGGCGGGCAGGGGCAGAGGTGGCGTCGCCCGCCAAGCTGGAGGTGAATGGCCAGAGACAGAATCTCTAAACTCACTCAGCCCATGGGCTCCTGCCTCGGAAATGAAAGGTATCATGGGTAAGGAAAAAGAAAAAGTCGTATAGGTTTAGAATAAAAATTTGATGCAAATCTGGGGAATGTACATTACAAAAAACTTTTTCTTTACTTTCCTAAAACAGAACTATGTTGCTGTTGGGGTACAGTGATTTTTACTGATAATCTGGTGTCCTGTCTTCTTCCCCAAACAGGTGAGGGGTGGTACAGCTCAGAGAAAAAGACTAAGTCAGGTAGAAACGTCAAGGGACGTAATTAATAATATACCCATCAGAACTCTGATTTCAACAAAGATTCTTCTACAAACTTTCTTACTAACACTCGGGAACAAAGCAGAGTTGAGGGGGGCCATCCCATCCACAGCCACCAATCATGTGCCTCAGCAAAGATTTCTCTAAGTCTCTTAATCAAATGTCTCACATGACTGGCTAATCCCTGTGACTTGGAAATCACTTGGCAAACACAGCTCCCAGGCCCTGGCAGAGAATAAATACCCTCAACCTAGTTACAGCAAATGTTTTCCCCAAACAGCACCAGGCCCTTGAACTTCTTGAATTTTTTCTCGAGCCAACTCTCAATTCTCCTAATTGAGCAGAAAAAACCTGATGCTATAGAAACTTTCCTTGTGTAAACCCATTTTCCTTCCTTATTTAGAACAATTACAAGACAACGTAATTGTTCACCTCCCAAATACTCCATATCCTCTGGTACACTTGGTGGAAGGGAAGAGGACTGAAGACAGACGGGGCCTTCTGGGTCACACAAGGTGGGAAGTAAGAACATTTTGAGATCTGTTGTTGTCAGGAACTGAAGTAATGGCTTTTCTTTCTTCTTAAAGGAAAAAAAAAAAAGTACTGGTCAAGGAAGAAGGTAGGCCACTCTACAGATTTCCCTGGATAGAGGAAACCTACCTCCTGCAAGGGAACTAATCCAAACAATAGACCCTTGTTAAAAAGGCCAGAAAATGCCCTGCCTGCCCCTCCTCACGCCTCTCGACAAGTCCTCAACGCCACCCTCAAGTTTATGTCTGAAGTTTTTTCCTCATCCAGGCCAGCATTTACTCACACTATTTAATTCCACATGTTCCCACTGGTGTTACTTGACTGGAATTTTCCAGCCATTTCATTTTACTTTAGCCAGTTATAAAGCTAGATCTGAACCAGCTGCACTGTAGCAACTGGTTAAATTCATATCCGTTGTTTGCAGCTGCAACTAAGAGCCAGACAATATGCTATGAAAATGCTTGGTTTTCTCTCTTCCTAATTACCCTGACCCACAATTTAATTTCACTACCAGCCTTCTCAGATTTCAACACCTTCTTAACAACCCAAAGGAGGTGTACCAAAGATGACTGCCGGAAATTTGTTGTGCATCCAACCATAGGACCTTCCAGAGTGAATGGGATTTTGAGCAAGCTATCTAATGGGACTATAAAATAGATTTATTTGTGGCTCTAAAGACAGTTTGACGAGTGTTTTTAGGGCAAGCTAGGATCCCTTGGAGGTGAAAAGATTAATTCAAGTAAATTCTGCACCTGAAAGAGTTGAAAGCTAATACAGATGGCTCCAATAAGGGTGAGTAAGACTTTTCATATAATCATTGTCTTCATTTTCAACTGGAGCATTCACATTCGAAGACTCCCTAGGCTAAGAAACCTCAAATTTAAACTAGATTAAAATTATTTGCAAGAATTAAGTACTCTTTTGTTCATCTCAGGAATAACAACAAGGAATTAGTTTTGTTGAGACAGTAAAACAGATCCATTTTCAAACTAATTCCCAAACGGGCAAGCCAGCCTAGTGTATTCACTAAGCACACCAATTCCAACTCAGGAGTCATTTCAAATACCTCATGCATTTCTGTCCTCTGCTAGGCCTGTGCCACTAACCCCCATGCCTCCAGAAGATTAACACTCAAAGCTTGACTTCTGCACCAGGATCTACACTGACCAAAGATCCCAGTTTACTTAACAGATTTTTGTCCAGTTTTCTAGGAGTCATTTTCTCCTTGAGACAGTGAAGCTGGTAGTAATTTTTCTCTCTTCTAACTGAACTCATTCTCACACAAAGCAAATAAACGTACAGAATTAGCCTGTGCATCAAAATACTGAGGGTGATAATGGATCTATCTCCAACCACGGAGATAGATGAGTTGTCCTCTAGTCTGAGTGTGTAGTGAAGAGGAATCTAGAGGTACAGTCAACGAAGGTGTAAAAAACACTAGGCAACTGTTGTACCTGACTTAACATTTTGTAATTTTAATTTTCTTCCTCATACAATTACAACTCAAGCTTTTAAAAAAGGCATTCAAGCCAGCTGGGGCCAGAAATTCATTTTCAGAAAAACCAAACTTGTTCATTCTTATTAAGGTTTAAAAAAAAAAAAATTTTTGGAAATTCCCAGTTTTTTTTCTATTTAAGCTCTAATAGCAAAACAGGATATTCAAAACTGTATTGTAATGCTTTCAAACAGATAATTTAGAAACATCAGCCATGCCGCTTACTTTCCCCTTCCGTGAACTGATCCATATGCTGTAATAACTTATTTTGGCACATCTCTTCTCTGCCAAACCATTTATTATTAATGGATGGCATTTCTGTGCATTTAAAACATCAATGCCTTTTGTTAAACCTTTCCCACCAAGTCCCTCTCAACCCCTACCTCAGACAAACTACTCTAGTTCTCCTCATTCATTTTTAATGCTTCACTCCCTGAGATCTTTACCACCCACACACGGTCTATTAGGAAGACAGAGATACCAGCTACAAATCAACCCTTCCACATGTGACAGAAGGATAGGAGGTCTGTTGTGAAAAATCAAAATTTAGAGGCACCTGCCACTCCTTTCCACCATGAAAAGAAAATGCATTAAGGAAAACAAGGTAGCCAAGGACGCAAAACCCAGGCACTGCTTTGCCAAGAGACAGACATGGCTTCCATAGGCTTGGCAGCTTTGCAAAGTGCTGGGCATAGGTTTTCAAACAGTAGATTCCCCGAACTCTGTACACTTAACTACTTGTGCTTCTTGTATTTTGGAAGAAACAATTACCAGTGTGTAGTCAGACTACTTGGTGCTACATGTGCAGGACCACACCAGGTTTGATATGAACCTGAGGATTCACCAGAATCCTTCAATTCTAGAACCGGACTCCCAGATCAAGGGACTCACAGCTGTTGGATTAAAATGGGCCAACAAAGTAACCTGAAATAGTCACAGAAATTAGTAGGAAGAGAGGGAAATACAATTTTGGTAAGTACCTGGTTAAAATTCTGCTTGAGGTAAAGGAAGGTAAAACAAATTCTATTTCATATAATTAGCTGACATGTCTACTGCATCAAATCCTCTGGGTGCAATTATAGGTTGAAAAAATAGGCACCTCTGGGAGGCTAAAACTGCTCACAGCCCCTTTTACTCTTAATCAGGTCAGTGGCATCCAGCCTCTACATTAAGTCCCCAAATGTGAGCAAAAATAAACTACTCCAGTAAGGGTACATGCTTCCAAAGAGAAAACTCCCATGGAATTGTGAATTTTCTGATTACATGGACCAGGAATAAAATAAAGATATCTACTTTTGCCACAGCAATCAGACAAGAAAAAGGAATCATTCCAAATTGGTAACGAATAGGTACAACAGTCACTATTTGCAGAGGACACTGATATAGCCTCACCAAAAACCCCATTAGAAGAAATCCGTAAAGTTACAGGACTTTAGATATCTGTTAGATAGATATCTAAAGATATAGATATCTATAAATAGATATCTGTTGCCTTTTTATACACTACTAAGAAGTTATTAAAGAGTAATTAAGAAAATTACCCCATTTATAATTGCATCAAAATGAACAAAATACCTAGGAACACCTTTAACCGAGTAGGTGACATACCTCTACTCTGGAAACTACAAAACAACGATGAAAGAAATTTAAGGGACAAATAAATAGATGTACAAATAATTAAGATACACATGCTCATGGCCTGGAAGAATACCATTAAAATGTCCACACTACCCAAAGCAGTCTACAAAGTAAACGCAATCTCCATCAAAATGCCAATAGCATTTTTCATCGACTATAATAAATAATCCTAAAGTTTGTATGAAATCCCCAAAGACCCTGGAGAGCTAAAACAATCTTAAGAACAACAAAGCTGGAGGCATCTCAATCCCTGATTTCAAGCTGCAGTACAAAGAGGTAGTAATCAAAACAGTAAGGTACTGGCACAAAAACAAATACAAATGTATATGGAACAGAATAGCCCAGAAAGAAACTCGTGCTTATATGGTCCATTAATCTGTGACAAAACAGAATAAGAACATACAATGGAGAAAAAAGTCTCTCCAATAAATGGTGTTGGGAAAAATAGACCATTTTCTTACACTATAAAGGTAAAATCAAAATGGATTAAAGACCTAAATGTGAGACTGGAAACCATAAAACTCTTTTAGAAGAAAACAGTAAACTCTTGAACATTAGACTTACCAACAATTTTCTTTGTATGTCTTCTCAGGCAAGGAAATCAAAAGCAAAAATAAACTACTGGGTCTACATCAAACTAAAAAGGTTTTGCATAGTGAAGGAAACCACCAAACAAAAAGGCAATCCACTGAGTGGAAGAAGGTATTTGCAAATGATGTACCTGGTAAGAGTAATTTTCAAGATACATAAAGGACACCAAAATAAATCCAATTAAGAATGGGCAGAGGAAAGGACTTAAAAATACAGATTCAAAGGGGGTACATGCACCCCGATGCTGATAGCATCATTATCAACAACAGTCAAACTATGGGAACAACTCAAGTGTCCATTGACCAACGAATGGATAAAGAAGATGTAGTATGTATGTATACATTGGATTACTCAGCCAACAAGAAATGAAA